AAACACACAACTTCCATTTCTTAAACTCAAACACAAAATTTGGTAAACTTGTTGACATAAACTGTTAGATGGAGTTTAAAATGTTTGAAATTTGCTTTAAAAAAGTGAATCTGTTTTTATCAGGCTACTATGAACAAAAAAACATTAAAAGTCATTGATTAATCAACATAGAAGTTCTTGTATACATTAGCAAGGCATCACAAGGAATCAAACTCCATCTCATTACTGAGCTCAAATTTACTAGAGCCTTTACTTTTCTGTTGTTACATAAAAACATAAAAATAAACATGTAACAAACATAAACAAACTGTTGATGCAGAAATGTCTATCTAATTAAGATCTATATCTAAAGTAATAGATGTAAACTTAAAAATTAACCCTATGTGTGGAGTAGGGCTGGGCAATAAATCAAAATGTATCGTTATTGAAATTTCTGACTCTTATCGAGAATATTTTTACCACGTCAATAAATTTGATAAATAAAAAATGAAAAGTTGTTTGTAGGTTGGCAACGTTCATGTCTCTCTAAGACGCTTTACCACCTTAAGTCACGTAAAAGTGTGACTCAACTTAGTTTTTCTCCTTTGGTTTGGCTCATTTCTTGAAACAGAGATTACATTCTCAAAATAACATGGATAAACCTCCAAACCTCTTGGCAAATGTTCACAACAGAGTGGCATTTCTCATTCATTTTCCCAAATGGCAAATGCCTTAGTACATGTCTTAGTTGTCTCAGTGCATCTTTGCAAATGATTAAGTACATACAGTTATACAGTTAGCCCACATTTAGCACATTTTCCAAATGAATAGATCTTGTAGATCTGAACTGATTAGTTGATTCTCAGTCTAATGATCATTCTCTCCAAAACATGTCAGCATGATTTCATTGTATAAGTACTCGCATGCACAACTGTCTGTTCAGTTGTCAGAATTGGTCAAGAACATAATACCATGAATACCATATAAGTTTGACAGCCAAAACATGTACAGAAATAATAAATGTCTTCTTCATACATTCTCCTGCAATGCCCTGGTCCTGTAGAATGAGCCCTGGCATTTTTACTATGATTGCCTGTTTTTCTGTAAAATCACAGAAAAAGAGATGCTCGGGTCAAGCAGGCTGCTTCGTGCGCGTTCACGCTCAGGCATAGCCCATAGCATTTGCTATCAGTAGCTTTAGCAGCAGAGAGTGAGGTAGTGCCAACTCAGCGACTTTGTTGCTGTTCCTAACGCCTAGTGATGAACCTAGCTACATTCTGAGGACCCTTAGCTACTTTCTTCTAGATATTTCCTGCAAATTAGCAACAAAATAGCCTTTTTCGCTCCAAACCGTTCTTTGAACGTTGTTTCAGCTGTCATCAGGAATATAAATATTACAGATACAGAAGACATCACTGGTGCTATAGCTCACCCAGTAAGACGGTGGACTCCTGGGCAGAAGAGCTGGGTTCAATTCTGGATGTGAACATAATTTATTTAGAGTGTATTTTTTACATTAATGGTATATTTTTTTACAGTAAGATGCCCATATTTTTATTTGAGACTTGCCGAACGGCATTGAATTCACAGAAAAAAAAGATGTGGGTTCAACTTTCATTTTGGAACAATTTTTCAAGCAAGGGAAGGGCATGATCTGAGCATGCAGGAGGACTGACCCATCTTAAACCTTTGTCAGCTGTGCTGAAGAGAAAGGTACAGAACCAAATTATTTAATTAATTAGATGCTCGTTCTCCTGTCCTCTGTCCTCCGGGCCACACACACACACACACACACACACACGCACACGCACACACACACACACACACACGGGACTGTCTCAGCTGTTATTTTCATAAAGGAGTGTGCACGTACAGCATGCGCGCCTCGTGCACGAGCCTACTATTGAAGCTGCCATTACGCTTTTGGCCTGAGGGGGCAATCGCAAGCATAAAAATTCAAAACTCCTTAAAGTCCCTTTAATTTCTTTGAATATTTGATACATTGATGACAGTCATTGACAGTCAGGTGAAACTAGACTAACGAAAGGGGAGTGTCATACACAGGTATTTTCCTTGATCGTGTGCTACCATTTCTGACATTGGTGTGGCCACTCACATCCCCAGTCTTGGTCCATACAACACACACAAGCTCGTCATCTTCTTGGATCGCTTTTCTACCGATTTTATCCCTGAAAATGAGAGAGGTCTCATAGGGCCTCACCTACCCATTTATGTAATTGTGTGGGACAATGTCAATTTCCACCATAGCCCACTCATTAGGGGCTGGTTTGCAACACATCCAAGGATGGTCATGGAGGTCCTACCACCTTACTCTCCATTCCTCAATCCGATAGAGGAGATTTTATCTGCTTGGAGGTGGAGAGTGTATGAGCATCATGCTCAGGATCAGTCGTCCCTGCTCCATGCTATGGACGCAGCATGTGACGACATTACAGGAGATCAATGCAGTGGATGGTTGCGGCATGCACGCCGTTTCTCTCCTCGTTGCATTGCAAGAGAAAGTATCCACTGTGATGTGGAAGAGAATCTGTGGCCAGAAGGACAACAGAGTGTAAATAATCAGGAGGGTGAAGACAGTGGACAAGAGCGGGAGAATGAGTACAGCGACCACTGAATGCGTCCTTGTTTTTTTATTTTGTGTTCATACAATTTACTGTATTACTGTAATGTACATTAACTTTTTACTTATGTATGAAACTTTCTTTGCGTGTGGATAAAAAATGGTTATAATTTTCTTGGTAGTGTGAGTGCAATCTGCGATGTCAAACCTTGGAGGCTATTCTTTTCGGTTGTATACTGTTGGTCCTCTGCCATAGTGACAAAACATCTAAACATTTTGTATGGCAGTACTCACACATTGCCAAAGGGACGATGCATTTTGGGGGCACTGACTATTCAGATTAGTAAGAAATGTAGTTTTGACACGAGTGAACTGTTTTAGGAGAGATATGAGCTTTTGCAGATAAAGCATGTTGTGATCAACCATCCAGGTTTATTTTGACAAAAGCACCAAGAATGATGAGAATGTCCGATCTGGGTCGAGAAAAGAGCCAAAGCTATTGAGAAGGATCTTTGCCATTTTGAAGACACTGTCTGTTTAAATCAGAAAGGGATTTAGATTGAAGCCTGGGTGAACAGTTTTGGAAGAGATATGAGCTTTGGCAGGTGAGCTATAGTGTTGTGCTAAACTGTAAGAGTGTTTCGCCAAATGATCTAAAAGGTTTGAGAATGTAATTTCTCTTTCAAGAAATTAGCCAAAGCAATGAAGAAAAACTGTAATACATGTGACAGCCCCATCTAGTGGACAACTTTTGTTTCTGCACATACCTGTAGTTATTGTCCATTTATTGTTATCAAGGTGAAATCCTCAATATATCATGATATTGATTTTAAGCCATATCGCCTTGCCCTAGTGTGGAATAATCCTGGATAGAGAAATTACATTTTACGTGCCATTGCAGTTTGGCTTTAAAAACAAGGAAACTGGATCCTTTTTTAGCTTTCTTAGAGATGTTTCTCATCTGAGGAGAGACTTCAGTTCACAGTTCAGGTGAGGCAAACTTATTCAAGGATGCTAATTCATTTCAATTCAATTCAAGTTTATTTATATACCGCCAAATCACGAAAAGAGTCATCTCAAGGCACTTCACACAGTAGAAATTCCAATACAGGTCATTTAATTAAGCCAATCAGAAAAAAGTTTCTTATGCAAGGAACCCAGCAAATAGCATCAAAGCTAAAGTTTTCAGATTGTTACAAACAAGGGTAGATGGACTGATAGACTATAGGAGAGGTCAGAGTCGACTCCATCTGTGAAGACTCTCTCCAGAAAACCCTGTTTTTGACTTGGTTGTGACTTGTGACATCAGCCTACAGTGTTGTCCACACCTTTTTGTCTGATGCTGCAAGTCAGATGTTGAAAATAGTTGACTGAATAATTTAGTTCCAACTTTTAGTCTCCTGTCTAAATAATAATTAAAATCCACTAATCTTAACCATCCAATTATTTTTTAAAGCAATGCAGAAGTTATGTTGTGTCACAATCTACTCTTCAGCCCTGTTCAGACAAACCACTTAATTTTCCTGCTGCCAGCGTGACACTCTGCAACCAAAGATCATCTCTATATTCATAGATGTCTCAACATGCTTTTCTTCCCTTCAACTCTTCATTTTTGTTTCAAATTTCATTTGTAAATGAGCCACTGAATTTGTTTAAATGAAACTCCACAGCCATTCAAGGGCCGACCCTGTCATCCCCACCCAATATTCCAGGTGGTCAAGCAAAATGTGATGACTGACCGTGTCAAAGTCTGCTGCTAGGTTCAATAACAGCAGTACCATGGGTGCACTTAAGCCAGAAAGATATCATTTAATGCTATCATCAGCGTGGTTTCTGTACTTTGTCCAGCCCTAAATCCCGATTGAAATGTCTCAATTATACCCTCCAAAACTGGTGGTAAACAACCTTTTCCAACAGTTTAAGGAAGTTAGGAGATAGGCCTACAATTTGCCAAGACTGAATTATCAGTGCCTGACTTCTTCAGAATTGGCTGAACCACCTCAGCTTTTATAGAAGCTGGAACCACACGAGCACAGGCTACCATTTATAACAGTTAATATAAACGAACCCAGTGCGGAGAAAGCCTCTGTACAAAGACGAGGTGGCAAGACAGCAAACAGAGAGCCAGCGGGTTTTTGATGGGAGACTAGCCTTTCCATCTCTGCTAGAGAAATCAGGTGGAAAGAAACCCAAGTAGTGCTAGGCATGGGCGGGGAGTGGACACAAACTTGAACAGGGATCCCGACATAGATGATCCAATCCGGAGTCAACATCCTTCTTAATGGCTGCCCCAGCTGTAGCAAACATAAGAACGGCTACAACTCCATCAGGTTTTTGGATTTTGAGCTAAACCTCTGGCTGTAAGTAACATGGTGGCCAATATGCATTCAATTACTGTCAGAAATAGAACCAGAAAATAAAAATTAAACTCAGTGATCTGTTGAAAAAAGCAAAACTCTCTTTATTGAGCTTTATTGGCAAACCTATGATCATACAGCAAACACTTCTCAGTATAATTCATCTCCCAGACTGTCCCGCCCAAGATGCTGAACTGAAAAGAATGTAAAGAGCAGCTTTATTATTTAAATCTCACCATTAAAAACAAAACTCTGCATTTTAATGAATATACAAATCTGAGTAGAACTAAAAGTGTTTCAAGTTAAGACATTTTACCTAAATGCATCAACATTACAGTGCAATTTCCTTTGGGGACAGTTGATTCAAGCTTGGGTGGGCAACTTAAACATTAGTTACATCACAAATATTAAAAATCTATTTCTCTCCCATGCCCAAGCTGACCCTGGGTTGAACTCAAAAGGGCTCGGCATCATTTCATATCAGCAGAGAGAAAATGAAATTCTGTTTAGGAGAATCACTGCTTTATTAAATGCTTACAGTTCAAAATCCACTCCTTTAGGGGATTCAACAGTGAGATTTTCACAGTGTACTTGCTAAACTCTAAATCTGAAAATTCAGAATGTATTAACAAAAATGGCTCTCGTAGAGTCCCACACAGCTCTGTTAGAGTTAGATTCAACTTATTGAATTAAAATATATACCAGACAGTTAACTTAAAGCTACATCAGATCAACTGGACCTGATAGGAAGCTGATGGGATTTCATTTATTTCATATTTTCTCTAAATTAAACAACAAACATAGCTAATAGTTGCCTAAGCATGGCTGCTATGGCAAGATTCTCATTTATGAATCAAATTTTATTGAAATCCCAATCTCCTCCACATTTCCTCACAGGCTTGATGAAGCAGTCTGAAACAGAAAAGCAGAGTTTTCTCTGATCATTGCCGGCTGCAGTTCAGTGGAAAGACAGGATTCGCAGCTGTTAACTTCCTGTAGCGCCCCAATGGCAGGAATGGGTCATTACTGTGCAGTACAAGGGGGTACTTTATACTTGCTGCATGTCCTTCATGTCTGCATTATAGAGAAGGTATATCTGCTGTTTGGTGGGAGAAAACTGGAGTAAAAAAAGAGTAAAACGACTTCACACATCTCCAAAATGTGCCCAAGATGTTGTTTCTCAGTGTGTTCCTTTAGGATGAAATGACACAGTGCTCGGGGGAAAAAAGAACGAAGAACAAAGCTACTGCCACGGCCTCTGCGGAGGTGGGTTGGGGTTGGGATAAATGGGCGCTGGTGTTTGGTGGGAGTAGGCGGGCACAGCTGTGTTGGGGTGGGGAGGGTACGTGGGCGTGGGGTACTGTGCCACCATTCGTGGCTGGCTCTGAGTGGTGGTGTGAGCCGGTGAGGACACTGCAGAAGACGCGGAGGGAAGGTGGAGGTAGAGGGGGGCAGATGGAGCAGAAGGGGCAGATGGTGCCGTTGGGGTCGGGACCCTCTGTAGGACGACATGTGGGTAGAGCTGTGACTCGGATCGGTAGAGTCCAGGCATAGAGGCCTTCAGCAAGTTCTCCTGACTCCTGAGCAAAGATGAAACACACAACCAATGAGAAGAAACTCCTCATAAAGGCTAAGTACCCACTTTGGCTGATGATTTCTTGAACTAACTTTTTTCAATCTTCTTCCAAATCTCGAGCCCATGGGCTGAGGGCTAAAACATAGATGATCCATAAATAAGGAACCATTCAGCTCAGCTGCATCTTAACCTCAACTTACCAGAGCAACACCTACTGGTCCATCTCTCACTCCACTGTATTGTTGTAGGTACCAGATGAGCTCAGGTAGCCAGATCTGCTTAGGACCCTGTACCTGCTGATGACATCACTCTACTGGGACAGCAGTAACTCAGGAGGTAGAGTGAGTTTTCCAGTAATCGGAAGGTTGCAGATTTGATCCCGGCTCCCACCAGAGAATGCTGTTGTGTACTTGGGCAGGACACTTACCCCGCCTTGCCTGCTAGTGGTGGTCAGTGTATGGGAGGCCCCGCCTCTGTCAGTGCGCCTCAGGGCAGCTGTGGCTACATAGCTCATCATCACCAGTGTGTAAATGTGTATGTGAATGGGCGGATGACTGATTGTTTTGTGAAGTACCTTGTGGGGTTGTAAAACCCTAAGAAGGCGTTTTACAAATACAGACAATTTACATTATTGGCTACATTAGCCCTTTTTACAAGACACACCTTGCTGGTAAATCAGCATAATATTACTGCAATGGTGTATCTTATAAACGTGCCATGATCGTGATGCGTAAATTTTGACACCGTTAGGAGCGGCTTGTAAGAAAAACTTAATGAGTGCGGCTTTGATCGCAATAAAAAGGCAAGTTATGTCCAAGATAAAAGGAAATCTGCAGCCGTGCATTGACCACCCCCATACCCCCTTTATACCGCCATCGTGTCATCTTTTTTCTGTACATATATAATTAAGCAGGGTGTTAATTAAATACATGAAAATTTCACAAATATGAATTGTTTTGAGAGCCTTTTTGTTGATTATCTAATACGGACAATAATGCTTGTCTGGGTTTGGGGTACAATGTAGTTCGTCCGAAAAGCAATGCCATAGTGTAACGTCATCAGCAAGTGCAGGGGCCTTAGCAGATTTCACCGCTCAGTGACTGTAATCTTACCTGCACCATCGTTAACAAAGATACTTGAACTTCATTTAATGAAAACAATGATCTCTGTGGATTACCAATATTTTCATTGTAACAGACATCATTGTCTGTATTGATATGATTTGAGGCATGCCTGCTACCAATTTACCTCTGGTATCCTCTATTTTCATAGCCACTGAGTCCCCCGGTCAGGTAGAGGGGGCTGTCAGGAGCAAGACGAGGATTCATCCTTTGAGACAAATGGAAGATCTTGGGAGGAGGGAAGGCCTCCCACTCCCCTTCTTCTGTTTCCAGCCAACATTCACTGCGACGGCTTGCTCGCTTATCTCTTCGTCTGTGAAAGACAGATTTTTATCAGCCCAGGTCAGTTTAAGAACAACCGAAGAACACCATGCTTTCAGTCACACCTTCTCCTTCCTTCTTTCTTGGTACGACCTCTGCTGGATCGCTCATGTAGGCAGCAGACGAGGAAGGACAGGGACATGGCAAAAATCACGATGCCACTCACCACAGAAGCCAACACGGCTACTCTCAGACCACGATCCTCTGGCCTGGGAATCGCTGTCATCAAGAAAACATGAATAAAAAAAAGATGATACATCAGATTGTTTCACATCAGCTCCTTGTCAAACTCCTCACTTAATATTTTGGAGCTTGTTGGGTTTTCATGAAATAGGAGTTTGATTCCTTGAATGGCCATCTCATTTTTGTGGAAGAGTTTGAGTTTCCCAAAAATCCTTGGAGGTGCGTTGTCCTGGCTCCGGACAGAGAATTCTGCTGTTGTGTCCTTGAGCAAGACACTTAATCCACCTTGCCTGCTGGTGGTGGTCGGAGGGACCAGTGACGCCTGTGCTCGACAGCCTTGCCTCCGTCAGTGTTCCCCAGGGCAGCTGTGGCTACATTGTATCACTATCAGAGAGTGATTGTGTGTGTGAATGGATGAATGATACACTGTAGTGTAAAGCGCTTTGGAGTCCTCTGACTCTGAAAGGTACAAGTGCGGGTCATTTATCATTGTCTTTGGCATTTTGCCCCTATAAAGGTCCCCCATTACAGTGGGGATAGGGAGCTGCTGACATCATCTGTTGGTTCAGTCAAGTGGTGGAATATCTCCAATCTGCTCTAGAGATATGTCCATTGACTAATCTCTGGGGCAGACTGGGGAGTTTAAGATTAAGTAAAAACTTGCGGGCCTGGCAAAAAGGGATTGATGAGATCTATTCACTGGGTGTGACTGTTGTAGGACTACCTTTGCTGACTCTATACCATCCATGGATATTGGCAATGGCATCTGTGGAGTGGGAGGCTAGAGTGGTGGTCCCTATTAAGAAAGGAGGACTGAGAATGTGTGTCAACTTTATTGGGATCACACTCCTCAGTCTCTTGGGAAAGGTCTATTACAAGGTGCTGGAGATGGGGTCTGACTGTTAGATAATGGGGGAGTGGTGAGCAGTAGACACATGTTACATTCAGTAACCATATGGTGGTTTAACCCCCCAATCCAACCCCTTCATGTTGAGTGTCAAGCACAAGCAGGGAGGCATTGAGTCTCATTTTTTCAAAGTCTTTGGTATGACCTGACCATGATTTGAATCCCGATCTCCCAGTCCCAGGGCAAACACCCATACCACCAGGCCACTGAGCTTGAAGAGGAGCATATGGTTTTTACCCCCCCCCCCCCCCCCCCCCCGGGCCTCTGAAGATTTTCCAGATCTATAGAAGGTTAATGACCATGTCCTTAGTAGGCACCCTGTGGGGGGTGCACAGGGAGTATGGGCTTGAACAAAAGGTTCTGGTTCAGACTTTCTTTATTGAGAAGTTGGCAACACTGAAGGTATTGGCTATTGAGAAATGTCAGAAATGATGAATACTGTGTTTTGGAAAGCTGAATCTGTTTTATACGAGTAGTTAATACCTTCACAGACAGGCAGGTAGTTGCTCCATTGTGCTTTGCCTCTCCTGACATCACAATAAATCTTGCCACTACCAACCAGCTGGTACCCTTCTCTGCACCAGAAGGCTAACACGCTGCCGATTGATACGCCGGTGCCACTCTCCACATAGAAGGAACCACGGCGGGGTGGCAGGACAGGGCTACAGGATAGACCTGAACAGAGGAGAGAAAAAATGTGTTAGCTGTTTCTACTGTACATGTTTTATGTACAGTACCCAGTAAAGGTGTATTTTTGGGGTTTGGAGATCACATAAAATACTTATTTCTGTCTCAATTAGTGATAAAATGTATCTAACTCCATTTTATGCACACACACACACACGCACACACGCACGCATGCACGCACACGCACACGCACACACACACACACACACGCGCGCGAAACAGAAGAAACAAGAAAACTAAGGCAGAAGTTGAAAGAAAACAAAAAGCACCTCATTTGGCTGCATGGTGTTTGTATCAGTTTATAGACCTCCCTCCTTCATTTTTCCAAAATTTCCTGACTAAAAAATAAAAACTCAAATTAGATCTTTCCCCCAGCTTTTGAGTCATGATGATTCACATATCTCATGGCTGTTGTCAGTTTAAATGTTAAAATGTCTACCACGTTCATCTGTATTTGATTTTTTTTATACTTGAATAAAATGCCACGAGTGATGGTTTTTAAGACTCTTGTTCCAAAAATACAACTTGACAGAGCTCAAAAGTGGAATGTTTTGGTTTAGGATTTGTAGAAAAAGAAGGCAAAAACACTTCTTTATTTATGCAGATGGAGCAGATATGAATGTGTGTCAAGAAATGTCATCCTGCTGTCATATGGTACTTCCCTGACTGGTCCATATTTCAACTGATCAGATTTTTAGATTATTTTTTACATTGATTAGGGTTTATTATAAGGACAAATGTTCATATTTTTTAACAAATGTATTAAAATTTTCATTACTTGAGGATAAATAACTTCTATAAGGTCTCCTAACTCTGTTAATCCTCACCCTATACCTTTCCTTCTTTCTTTCAGGACCTTTTTTCTTCGCTGCAGTGTGAACCTTTTACAGTAAACAAAGATCAGAGTGTCTCCATTCTGGGAGACTAGCTGAGAGATTAGAATTTACGCTGGTAAATGGGTAGTGACGTAGACATTGCGAGGCAGAAAGTGCTATTTTTACCCTCCTTATGCTAGAATACACACATACTCATGATGCAGAATCTATTATTAGATCATCATGCAGAGATTCAAACACTAACCAGTACTAGTTACATAAAAGGTCCCATGACTCTTAATTAAAATGAAAAGTCCCTGATTTAGTTTTTACTTCATATTTGCACAGCTTGATACCTTTGATTTATTGAGTAGCTCATGATTCAGCAGTTTAAAAAAATTTAATAAACTTCAATTTTATTTAGGACTTTATATTTGAGTTCACATTTGAAAACTAATTTGCATTCCTGAATCTTCAGAAAATGTTTTGTACCAATTGGTAACAAAGTTATCCATCCTTTCTAGAGCTTAAAAAGCTGCTGAACAGCTGTTGGATTTATCCTTCAGGAGCAGTTTGTGAAGCACCGGCTGCCCCAGCACTGACTAAAATAATCATTCTACAATGTAATTGGCTACAAAACCTGAACCCATTAGTTTGAACTTAATAGCAATAGCTGTTTTCATTTTCCCCCATGAGCGTAATGTTGTAGCTTTAAAAGTATATAAAACACTCAAACGCACAACTTAAATTGAATCTACACTACATTACTACACATTAGTATAATAAATTGGCAGTGTTCTCTAGTATAAATGAATGCCTTGTCAGTCATTTTCTGTGAAAAAAAGTTTTTGCACACCTATTTCTCAATGGGTTAGGACATGGATATAGAGTCTTATTCATTAATATGTGTGATATGTGGACATCTTGACTCTGACTGGCTAACAACGACTCTTCCACTGACTGTTTGTCTTGCAATGAAGATGTTTTATCTCCACAAGTAACACAGCCTGGAGAAGTTTTGCCATGTTGTGGGAGTTGCTAATGCTAACGGTTAGCTTCAACAAGCTGAGATGCACTCTGTTTTCTCCTGACCAATAAATGAACAACAGCTTTTCACAGTCACGAGTTACAAAAATTGAAGCAATCCCGGAAGTACCATAAATTGCAGTTCCACCCTCATCCGCTGGGGGCTGGTGTCAGAAGCGAGCAAATCCTCATTGACTCCCATGTTAAAAATACCAATTTCACAGCAGAAATAAACATGTTTACAGCCTGGTACCAAAACATGTTTTTTGTTTAAATTATCTAGTTTACACTCATGACAACTCTGAGGGGGGTGACATTTTTTTCTCACTCTTCTGTTTAAGTGTATTAAAAGCCTAAAATTCTGTATAATTAATGAGCATCAGACCCACGTGACCGCCGCCTCAGACCCACGTGACCACAGAGCTAGCTCCGTGGAAAGGCCTCAGTAGAGCCTCGGTCTGGCTTGGACACTGCTCCGGGATTTTGAGTCTCTGTGTTTGTGTATTCTTTTTTGGATATTTTTTGTGCAATTGTTGGACAAAATGACTTGCTGTGGCATTAATTGCACTAATAGAGCGTCCAAGGAGTCTCCACTTCATTTTTTTCGATAAGTAAAATTATATTTATGTGTTTTAGGTCACTGCCGAGCTGAGCTTAGATTTTAACATGTACTGTTTAACCATGAAATTTAAATGTAATAGGGTAAAACTCAGTGCATTTAACACAATGCTGCATTTTAGAAAATGGGTTGAAATATAACATGTTGGTGGAGCTGGGTTCCGACTATCGGCTTGTGGAGCTCTCGGGAGACCGATGTTTTCCACCCGTTTCTCCTCTCCCCGCAGCTCGGCGCATCTCTGTCTGATCGCGGCTTCTGTCTGCTGTGCGGGCTGCCGGCTGGGTCTCCCCGCAGCTCGTCGCATCTCTGTCTGATCGCGGCTTCTGTTTGCTGCGCAGGCTGCTGGCTTGTGGAGCTCTGGGATGGAAACCTTTCCACGCGGTTCTCCCCAGCGGCAGCTCTGCGCATCTCAGATCGCAGCGGCGCTTGTCTGCTGTGCGGCTGCCGGCTTGTGGATGTCTCGGAGACCTCCGTGTTCCGGTTTTACCCAGCGGTCAGCCCGGCGTATCTCTGACTCAGAAGCTCTAGTGTTGTGCACAGTTAACTCCAGTTGTAGCTAGGTTGCTACCTCCGTTAGCTTAGCTCCCATCCAACCTCCGCATTAGCTTTGGGTTAGCTTCAGGTTAGCTTGTAGCTAGTTCGACCGGGTGTCGTCAGTTGATCCCAGCCTTACAGCCCCATCCTCAGCTCCTCCTCTCTTCCCTTTGGTGGAATTGTCTGGGCCGGAACCTGTGACAGGGTCAAAATGGCGGTGGTGGCCACCTCCCATTTGGCCTCAAAAACATGATATTGGAGCCTATGGAAATGAATTGTCCAGTATATTTATGTCGATGGTTACGATGCATGAGTCCATGAATATTAAGTTTACATTGTGACGTAGATAACTTCTGACCCGAGCATTTCCCTGTCTGTTTCCTTTTGGTGGCCAATGCAGGTGATAGAGGTAGAAGGCTATTTTCACATTCAGCATGTGTGTCAGAGTGACCGTTCGTATTTCAAAATGAACAATTGTATGTTTCTCAGTGAGCCTTTAAAATAGTGTAAAACTTTACTATTAAAATTCTAAAGGAAAAATGTTCTTGTTCTTTTATCTGTGTCATTTCAATGATCAGCTATTACAGACATATTCTCTAAAGTTCTCTTACAGTATGATGTCTTACATAGACACATTTCCCACAAAAAAAAGTTAGCCTACGGAGAAAAAAATGACACATTTTAACTTCACAGTTTATAATAGTAAAAAAAACTAGTAGGCTTTTTTTCAGGAAGGATCTATAGAGGCAGAATTTCTTTCCTCTCAAGGTTACTGCCTAAATGCATGCTAGCTATACAACCAGCTAGCTAGCTACCTGCTAGCTTGTTCAACATATTTAGCAAAATACTAAACCAAACAAATATGCTAGGAGAAAACAATAACCTAGGGAGATTTGTTGCAAGTTGTGCGTCTTTTTTTATTGTACATTCAAATATTTCCTCGTAAACACATGAAAGTACATAATATCTGTGCAGCTTCATGGCAGTATTGTGTTTGCTAATGTTGCCATATCATAAATGGCCTGAGGGGTGCGTGATGATGCAGTGCAATGCTTTATGTGTCAGCATTAGTATAATGTGTGTGTGTGTGTGTGTGTTTTCTTTTGAGGGGATGCCATCCCAGTCTAAGGCCCTGTGAACATGCAAGCTGCTCTCTGCTGATTAGGAGCGACAGATGGGAGGATTTCTGCTGCAGCAGTGGAGACCGTGAGGGATCTGTGATAAAGCGATGGCATCCCCTCCCTCATACACATCAAAGCACACACGCCAGACACGTGCGTGCAGAGTACAGTACAGGGAAACAGGGACAAGCTGGTTTATAAAAAGGGTAAAACTCAAACTCTTTCCCTGCATGGACCTTTTATGATGTTTTCATTTTGCATATGTCTGGTACCCAAAAGCTGGTGATAAAGATGCACGTTGGCAAAAAGACATTTAATTTAATTTTTACACAGACTGTGCTTTAATTGACTTCTGTCCAAGCCATGGGCAGTCATAGTGGTGCCATGTCGTGCTACCATCAATACAACTTTTAACACGACTTTGCACATTAATATTAAACTAAACATTAAACAAAAAGTGATTTCAAACTCAAAGAGATACGTGTTGAAAATTTTATAATCCGGTAATTTTTTTATTTGAGGATGCAAGACCATTCACTTTTTTCACAATGTTATGAATATAGAAGTGTATTAATGTAGAAGTTATTGTATTGCATAACTGACAGTTGTCTCATAGTTTGAAAAAGCAACATGTAAATTATACATCAAAACATGGCTTGATCTGGAAAAAAGGGTTGTGACTTTTGGTAGCAGTTCACCAACCATCCATCCGTTTTCGGCCGCTTATCCAGGGTTGGGTCGCGGGGGCAGTAGCATGAGCAGAGAGACCCAGACTTCACACTTCCCAGCCACTTGGACCAGCTCCTTTGAATGAATCCTGAGGCGTTCCCTGGCCAGCCGAGAGACACAGACCTTCAGCATGCCCTGGGTCTT